AAAACTATGCCAAGCGTCGACCCATGTTGATAGTTGTGCTAGCACGAAGTCGTAAGTCATTGTAACCGAGAGTTTGAGCGTGCTGGAAACGAACAGTTAGTCATTGCACTACCACACCAACCACACCACACACACACACACACACACACATACATATATATATATATATATATATGCTATCTATCTCTCTTTATATATATATATATATATATATATATATATATATATATATATATATATACATACATATATATATAGATGGATAGTTATATATATATATATATATATATATATATATATATATATATACGTACATATATATATATATAGTTATATTTGATATATATATATATATATGTGATAGATACACTACCACACCAACCACACGCCACACACACACACACACACACACACACACACACACACACATATATATATATAGAGAGAGAGAGAGAGATTTGCTATCATCTCTCTTTATACACACACACACATACACACACACACACACACACACACACATATATATATATATATATATATATATGTAGATGGCTAGATAGGTAGCGTATATATATATATATATATATATTCATGAATTATTCACACAAAAACAAATGCAAAGGTTAATGATTTAATTGGCGAGAAATCCATCGTCGCAAACAATTCAAATAATATACAAAAATAATTCATGAATTTGTAAATTGATTGCACGTTTATCGTAATTAAAATAACTGATCCAAGTGCGACTTTTGGATAATAAGTGCGACATTACTGTAATTATTGAACAATATAGTTCATGCCACTTTGACAGAAAATTTACCAGTAAAAAATTTAAAATCAAACTCAGCGTTGCTATTGCGCGCTCCAAAAACAATAACTCATTTCCAATAGCATTTTTCGGATACAACAATACATATATTTTCGTTGTCCTCTTATTACTAAGAGAAAAAACAAGAACAACATCTATTCTATACCTGAAGATGTCTGTAGGAACAGACGAAAGCTCGTAGTAAAATAAGAACTAATACGGCAGAAATTTATAGAAACAAGGATCATTTCATTCATAACGGATTCGGAAGTTTTTGTATATTATTTGAATTGTTTGCGACGATGGATTTCTCGCCAATTAAATCATTAACTTTTGCATTTGTTTTTTGTGTGAATAATTCATGAATTTGTAAATTGATTGCACGTTTATCGTAATATATATATATATATATATATATATATATATATATATATATATTTATATTTGATATATATAGAGAGAGAGAGAGAGGATAGGGATAGGTAATATATATATATATATATATATATATATATATATATATATATATCTATATATTGAACGCTAATGTCGGAGTAAACGGACGTGTTTTTTCATTGCTCAGAGAATGCGATGTCGTATTTTAAAGGAAAGTATTTTGATCAACCATTATTCTCATATTTTTCTTTGTTATTTGTATTATGATATTTGTTACGTTATTATACATTTGTACAGTATTTAATATACATATTTTATAATCTGTTTTACATATCTTTTTTCGTGGTATAAAACGGTTTTTCTTTTTTTTTTTAAAGTGTTGTTTAAGTGAAATTAAGAATATCTCACTAAGATTTATATAAGATTAAGACCATTTAATGCATAGTATTTATTAAATTAATTATATACTAGAATGACTACTTCTAGTCTATTTATATTTAAGCCTAACATTTCTGTTTATTTGTTTTTTTCTTCAGGAAAGTGGTTGTAATTTTCGAAATTGTATGAGAGTTGTCATGTTTATTTTGTTTATCATTATCGCCGATTTCTTTATCTATCATTATTTATATTCCAAGATTCTTTTAATAGCATTTGGTATAAATTTCATTCCTTTACATTTTTTTATTAATTATTACACTATTTATTAATTGTAATTAATTATTACATTGTTTATTAATTGTAAAGTAACGTACTTTCAATTTTGTTGGAAAAGCGTTCTCAGTTATAACGTTATTTTGTTTCGTTTTTACTACTAGTCAATTTGTTTTGTTATTTATCTTTCAAAGATTTTTAAAACAACAACAACACCAATAATAATAATAATATTTTCTCATTTATTTTGTAATAATTTTATACTTTAGTATTTAAAGCAATATATTGACACATTGATGACGGACTGTTTACTCCGACATCCAATGTAAAACATTTATATGTGTAGGGGCCAGCGAGTAGAAGTAGTACCTTTGTTGCTCGGCTGCTGCACTTATTATTAAGGTGGACACTGATCTTCACCCTCCCCCTAAATCTCCACGCCACATCCACAGAAATGATTATATATATATGTATATGTGTACACGTATATGGGTAGATGGGACACTTTAGCCATCTTTATTTCAACCCGTCTAAGAGAAGAAAACTCAGATGACAAGATCAGGGTAGATGGGACTCTGCAGTCATGTCTCTGTCAACACATCTAAGAAAAGGAAACTCAGATGACAAACCTGCGACTGAAACGATTACTGGTCATCTCGCCTTTACTTGTCACCAGGTCATAATCGTGGAGGCTTAGAGAGTGGCACACACATATATATATATATATATATATATATATAATAAAACTAGATGGTGAAATTCTGTTTCATGCTTAAACGCAATCATCAGGTCGTGACAGATTCTCACTATCCAATATTAATACCTTTTCTTAGTCATTTTACGCCAAGCAAGGCAATAAAATCACTAAGATGTAAGGTTTTGCTGAGAGTACAGTAAAAGAACAGGTTTAAACGAAACAGAAAGTGACGACTGGCGTTGCGTTTTAATTTTTGACGATCTTAGTTGAGAGAAAATTAAGAAGCCAAGTGCGTCCCACAAGTGAGGGAGAGAAGAAACTATTAGCATAGGACTTACGGTTACAAGTAGCAATTTCAACAGTGAAATTATGATATCTAACTACCAATCTAGTAACAAATTCGAAGTAACAAAGAGGAAAGCTTATCAGAACAGTTACCGTGAAAATATTTATGGAAAAGACAGAGAAAAGCTACGTTACGTCGTCAGGAAAGCCTACCTGAAGCTACTTTTACCGTTCCGCCACAGAGAGCGTCAAAGTTTAGCAAGGCTCTATATGATGATCTCTGTAATCTTTAAATGAGTCCATGATGGTTGCAATGGTTTGCACTGAGCCACAGCAACCCTCTCTTCCTCCTCTTACAATCTCAGAACACACATGTCTCCGCGGAGAGAAAGCGGACCACAGGGGATGTCAGATAGTACCGAGTTATTAACTGCCTTCGGATTTTCCAGGCTGTTTTCCTTCTCCTAGACCGGTTACCCAAAGCTATTGAATCCAGTTTGTCTTGCTATTTACCCATAACTTTTCCCAAGAATATTAGCACGTAAGTGAAAGCAATGAATTCGACTGGAATCCGAACTCGGCTCTCCGATTCCTCAATCCGAGCTGCTATCCACCGTGCTCCCTATGGCCGAGAGCAGTAAAAGTACACTGTATCAAACGGAAGAGTTTCTCTTACAAAGAGGGACGCACGTTCGATCCCTGTCGGAGAGCAAATTTTCTTCATGAAGATTTCTCGAAAACCTATGAACATAATATACTCTGTTTAAAATAAAAATAAAAATGGGGCGTCTATTTTAAATACAAGTATCCGCTAAATAATAATATATGTAGTATCACGAATATGCTCCGTGTTTCAACTGATATGCGATATTACTTTAGTAAATTGGATTTTACAAAGAGGGATAGCAGCTCGCAATATTATTTTGCTACTTTTACCCATAGATGGGAGGTAAATTATTTTTTTTAATTTAGAATTGTTCTTCTCCTAAACTGGTTGTCAACCAAGGCTAGAGCACACAATCTTCTCCGCTATGGAAACCATAACTTGTGAGAAGGACGAAAGGAAATGAATACGAACTGTTTTAGCTAGAATTTGAACACGTCTCGCGTTGTTAATCGTCACGACAATCGCACCTCCTGACCTTCTTCTATGTACCGTGTTCCCCCGGACGCTAGCGATCATGGCTCTGTACAATTTCTGGTCCTTTGTAGTTTTTAATAATTATTTTTCTTTTCGCTATCTCTCCTAATCCCTGTTTTGCCAATCATTTACACAAGCCCGTTAGGTAGGTTACTTAATCTGATTACGTCCTGAAGGATGAAACGCGTTACAAATAAACTTTTTTCCACTTTGTCATACAATTTCCCCAACACTGACTGTTCTTCATATATATATATATATATATATATATATATATATATATATATATATATATATATATATATAAGGGTGGCATTATAAGCTAAATATAAATATTTACTTAAAAAAGATTTGTAAACATATAAATAACATTGGTACATCTCCACATGTAAATTATTATGGACATATATTTACGGAAATATGAATGAATTAAAGATGAAATGCAGATCAAAAATGCATCGGAATCCGACAGGATGATAAAATAAAGAATAAACAGGAAACATATATCAATCTAACATGTTTCACTTTTATTAAAACTTCGTCAGAGATTGGGAGAAAACAGACAAAAAGACAGAAATACTTGTATTTTCAATTATGTCTCTGTGTTTCTGTTTTTTGTTTGTTTTCTCTCAATCTCTGACGAAGTTTTAATAAATTGCTCGTTTATTTTATCATAAATATGGATGTAAATGAATAACCACGCCAGCAAAAAGTTAATTTATAACCACAATTATATAGAAAACTAAAAAAGGTTACTATCTCATTTTATACTACCACGTTTGATACAGTATTTAAACATACACACACAAAGAAAAACCGTGTAATTATAACTGAAATATAAAAATACACATCTGAATGTTTTTTTTTAATATTTAGATGTGTATTTTTAGCCTTGTCGTTAAAACCATCCGACACCGCCGGAACAATCATTGTCGGTAGCCAGCAAGACGAAGTTTTGTTTATAGAAATGGGCTCAGCTTGTTGGCAAATCCTTCGTGCCCTCCGTTAAGGAAGCAAAGGACATGCTCACTCGTGGGAGGTCTGTTGACAGACCAAGCAAACCCGATGAAATATTGGCTGTGATTCGCCCCACTGTTGTTTGCCCGAGGGCAGGAATAGTGATAGCTCTAGAAGCGGTTGGATAAGGTACATTCAATAGTGACATTGTCATGCAATACAGTACGGGTCTTCTTTCTTTTGAGCCATTCTTTTCCTGGGTGGAACAATGCAAATCTATTTGAAGAGACGTCTGCTTAACGATGGAGATAGAATCGCGTTCTTCTCTGGCGTCTTGTCTGGTCTGTCTTCCCGTCTCGGTAAGCGCTAGGAATTTTAAAGTAAGCAAGATATTTCCTTAGTTTAAATATTGGCGCAGCACAATCTTCCCACTATATTTCTTTAGATCCTTATATACTATGCTATCTGAAGAGAGAGAGAGAGAGATGTTTAGTAGTTGACATATTGAGCGTTTGTTTCTGGTATTTGTATGAGTTGCTGTTTGAGCTCAGAAGAGGGTGAAGGATGTAAATGCTGATTTTGAGGGTTGCCCTAACAAAATGTTGCAACTTGTAAAAACTTTCATAAAATCTATATTTCAGATACAGTGGGCTTATTTGATTCGATTTTCTCATAGATATCTCGGTGTGTTTATGTCTGTCTGTCTGTCCTGGTCAGTTTGCAATTGTAAATAAATAAGTCTATCTATCTATCTATCTATCTATCTATCTATCTATCTATCTATCTATCTATCTATCTATCTATCTATCTACCTACCTATCTCAGTCAATTCATATCTCTCTCAGTCGATTTATATCTATCTATCCCACCCTTTCAGTTATATCTCTTTCTCTCTCTCTCTCTCTATCTATCTCAGTCTATTCATATATATCTAAATATCTATCTCACTCTTTCTATTATCTCTTTCTTTCTTTCTTTCTTTCTTTCTTTCTTTCTCTATCTATCCCACCCTATCCGTTATCTCCCCGCTCTCTCTCTCTCTATCTATCTTTCTACCTCAATCAGTATCTATCTATCTATCTATCTATCTATCTATCTATCTATCTATCTATCCCAATCAGTATCTATTTATCTATCTTAAGTTATGGCGTGAATATATAATAATTTAAATGCTGAATAACGCCGAGAATTTTAAGTTGTCACCAGGTGTATTCACCAGAACATCTTTTGTGTTTACTCAGTCAGATGATAAGCCCTGTTTATTTACTAAGCATGTAGGAAAAGGCCATAAATTTAAGTCATTCAATGAAAATCAAAATAGATTAGTTTCTTATCCATATCAAAACAGTTGTAGGGATTTACTGCTAAGTTAAATGAATTCAGTAAATATACAAGGATAGAAAAGGGCATAAGAGAAGGATGCGTCTTCTTACCGGACTTATTCAAACTTTACAGTGAAGCACCCTTTAGGGAATTGGAAGTCCTACCAGGATTTATTATTGGTGGCTAATAACAACATTAGATATGTAGAAGAAACAGTGTTGATAGAAAACGTAGAAATTGAACTACAGTAACTCTAACAGAAGGTAGTAAAGCTAGCAGAAAGGAGTAAACATCAACTGTAAGAAGACCGAATATATGGTTGTCAGCAAAAGGAAGAGTCCAACATGCGAACTATGAACTGGAAACAGCAAAATCAAGCAAGACCAAAGATTTAAATATCGAGGAAGTGTTTCAGCAGAATAATACGACACAGAAATTCGAAGACGAATTGGAACAGCAAAAGTATTAAGGAACATGAAGATTTTATTGGGAACAACAAAAAAAAGGATCTGAACTGTTATGTAAAATTGATACTTTTATATGACAGTGAATGTTGGACATTCTCCTTACAGATGAAGAAGAGGCAAAAGAAATGTGGTTCTACAGAATCGTACTGGGAATCTCATAGATTGAACATATGAACAATGACCAAGCTTCAGAGAAAACTGAAACGAAAAGGAAACTTACAGGTAGCATCAGAAAGAAACAGTTGAAATTTCTCAGGCACATAATGAGGAAAGTGGGCGTGGAAAATTTGACACTCACAGGACCTACTGAAGGCAAGAGAGACAAAGGAAACCCGATAAACTTTACTAAATTCTACAAAGAAAAGGAAGTTGCGACAAGCCATGATCACCAACGTCCTAAAGAAGAAGAAGAAGAAGAAGAAGAAGACGAAGAAATTTGGTTGGGCCATTGACTATAAAAGTTTGGCACTTAAGGAATAGCGAATAGCCTACTCTCGTAATAGTCTGCAAGACTGGCTTGGGGATTATTACTCTCCAGTAATACATCTTTGTAGGTTTCTCGTATATCACAAGGCTACAAGTGACGATCACACTCATTATAGTCATAACGATCAGTGGAACTTGCTTGCTAACCATTGTTACATAGCAGGAAATGGTTAAAACAGTTGTTCCCAAACAGTGCGGCGCGCCTCATAGGTGCGGCAGAAGAGGATAGCCGGTGAGGCGAAATGATTGAAAGACAATCAAAGATTTAGAAATAGTTTTAAAAAATATTCCCAAAATAAATATGATTTAAAAAATTTAAATATTATGGATTACTTGTAATTGTATGCATGAGTCCCAGTATAAATAGTTCTAAATAATTATTAACCGATTTTATCATTGTGATATTTCTGCATTATATCAAGTATTAAGAATATAGTAAGAAGGGTCTGCAAATTGGAGGAGAGAGTTATCAATGATAATGTTCTGACTTTGTATCCGCGGTTATTTCCCTTTAATCCTCTCAGTTGTTTTTGTTTTGTTTTTGTTTTTTAATTTTATTTTTAAATGTACTTTTCATTACATAAAATTTGATGAGTCACGATGAAATATTCATTCCTAAAATGCAGCCCAGAAAAAATGTTTGGGGACAACTGGGTTAAAACGAAAGCATTTTGAATTGAAATCGAGGAGTTTAGATCTAAAAACACGAGTGAAAAAGAAAGAAAGAAGAGAAAAAACAAACCTTGAACGAATAAAAATGGTGAAAAATGAATTTCTTACCTTTTTTTGTTTCGGGCCAATGTTTTGAGCTCATATAAGGTTTCATCGTCACCCAACGGCTTTCACAGCTCTGGCGATCGAAGCAATACCAACCATCTGGAGATGAGAAAATAAAGAGAGACAGGAGCAAAATAAAAAAGACCAAAATATTACGGTCATTTTAGTTTCGTTGAGGAACATTGACAAAAGAAGTGTGCTTATTTCAGAATTAAAAATACGGAAGTAGAAATCTAAAAAGTAAGCTATATCGAATCTGAACTTCGTTTGAAATTTGACCCTTTTTTTTTCTTAACCCTAGAACACTAACCATCAATTAAAGTTACACCTCTACTAACCATGTGTATATCATACCCGATTTTGAAAATATCAAAAAAAAATATTAAATTTAAATCTTAATTTGAAATATTTTACATGCAGACACTTCAAACTTTGTACTTTAAGTTAACATTGATAGAAACTGAAAAACATATTATTTAGGTAAGAAAATCAGGTACTGAAAATTGTAATTAAAACTAGGAAAATTTGCGCTGGGTACTATATACCCGTGGTTAGTGTTCTAGGGTTAAATGCAAGAACAAAATTCTAATAAAGGAACTGATTTTGATAGAATAAAGAAAGGTACTATTACATATACAAATAAAGATTTAATAATAAAGAAAGGTACTATTGCATATACAAATAAAGATTTAATAAAAAAGAAAGGTACTATTACATATACAAATAAAGATTTAATAATAAAGAAAGGTGCTATTACATATACAAATATATGAATAAAGACAGGGAAAACTTATTTTAGCCGACACGTTTTGTCTTCTGTATATGTAGATTAGTATTATTTATTAAGCATTAAACTGTATCACCTCACGTTCATAAAGTTGACTGCCTTTCCTGCTTACCTTATGAATAATCATGAGAATTCCTGTACCAAAAACTTTGAAAAAACAATAACATTTTTGCTCTTGGATATAAATACATGTCAAAAAATAAAATCCTTACATTTGCCTTGATAATGTCCCTCAGAGGACGAAACGCTTCGGCTAAGATAAGTTTTACTTTTGTCTTTATTCATATTGTCCTTTTACAGATATATTCTATCTGAAATTTCTCCACACAAATACATGGTTAAATATATTTTGTTAAACATTTGCTTAACTCTTGAAAGCTTTACTAGAAACTTACAACACATTCTTCAATTTACAGACTTATTAACAGAATTCTCGCTGTTGATCAATATTTTTATTTAGCCCATATCCACTTGCCGTGATTTTAAACTAACAACTCCTTTTGTTTTTATTTATCTAAACTATAATATTGGAAAGTAAAGATTTCACTGAAATATGTTTGAAAATTTCCTAGTTTTCATCTGAAATCAAAAAAATTAGAACCTTAAGCAAAATCTTCACAATATATGGGGAAAGAACGTTGTAAGTTTAAAGCGACGTCTGGTGAGTATAGGTTAAATCCTCATGGCGTCAGGTGAATCTAACGCCTTCTTTTTTCTATTTATCTAAACTACAATTTTATAAAGTAAGTTCGTTTCAAAGATCATTTCTACGTGATGATTTCAATCCTCATAGGGTACTCTACACTTAAAAGCTTACGGGCACATCATGTTGAAATATCGGTTCCCGTACCATCACAGAACTTAAGCAATGTCAAGCCTGGCCAGTACCTAGATCAGTGACCAGGTGATGTAATTTTGAGTTTGCGAATGGTGTTAATCGGAGAATCAATTTCCAATTGGGTCCGTTATATTCACTTACGCGAAAATACTCTTGGGAAACGTATTAATCTACCTCTTCTCCCCAACTTATGGCTTAATTAGTAAGATTTGTATCATTTAAACCATCATTATCTCAAAAATAAAATAAAATTGCGTACAAAATATTTAGATCGCAGCATTAAATTACCCATAGAGCTTGATATACTACCAAACAAAATCAACCAACCAAATACCCAACATGAAAGAACTATTTCATGGCAGTTCAAATAATATCCTAAAATTTCTTAAAAAGAAATCAAACTGTATCCCAAAATAAACTTCAACAAAACGACAACATTAAGCACACATATCAGAGCCTCCAGCAATCATGTCCACACAAACATTTATATGCACAAAAGCTGAGTATCATCTACCATGTATTCAGTTGTGAAAGCAGAATAACATATATCATATTTTTATTACTTTAAATCTTCCAAGAAAATTAAATCTTGGCATTAAATGACCCATAAAGGAGTTGATAAGCCATTGAAGAAACAAATCAGTCAATCAAGCTTTAATCCAAATCTTGAGATAATAAAATCATATTAAATTTCAAAGTTAAAAAACAGTGGAGGTAATTGATATATATCATAAATTTTGGAAATTAATGTTTCTAATTAATTACCTTTTCTCTCTCATGTTAGTAGAAATGTGACCACAGCAGCATATAAATATCTATTTCTTTTGAATTGGCGCAAACAGGTCGATTAAGAAAAAATCGAAATAATAAAAAAGGATAAAGAAAAACAAAAAAAATAGCTAACTGCTGTCGATAACAGGAGTGGCCAGATAATGACAGGGAGGGAATAAAAGCCTTAAGGTACGCTTTGTTAGTTTACAAAAAGATAATAGTTCGGCTTGAGGGTATGCAAAATGTGAAATAGAAAATAAATATTTTTATTTATCCCATATCTTCTTGCCGTGATTTTAAACTAACAACTCCTTTTTTATATATATCTAAACTATAATATTGGAAAGTAAAGATTAAGTCGTCTTGATAGTGTTACCGTCGTGAAACCAACATAAAAGGAGATTTAAATTTAATGTCAGTCTTTTACAAAACATTAGTTAACGGAGAAGAACTATTGCGGATGATTAAATTGGTTGTATTAAATTTAGTAAAGTATATAATTATCTTTATTTTTTTTTTACTGGGATCTATGGAGGATATATTAGTACGTTTTTTAGGACTTTTTTTTATCTTGTTTGTAGTTAGAGTGTATTTGATTACGGTACAGTAGGCTGATATGTTTAACATTATTTGAGGATGTATTATGTTCTTTTTGATTTCTATTAATATTTCTAGTGGCTCGTCTGATTTGT